CTTTACCTGATGTTGCCGAATTACATCACAGTCAACTACTGGAGCTAATTCGAACAGTAAATTCATGATATTTTGACTCAACCTTTTTCAAACTGCTTATATATATATACTGATTAATTTCTTTGATCTTGGTTGAAATTCAATTGAAGCAACAAGATTAATTTTTGAACTTGTGGTCTCTAGGAATTGTCTAGAAGAACGTCGTGATGTCGTGATTCATAATGGAAAACTTGTATGTATGCATTTACAATGCTTAGCATGGATGAAGTCATGGAGATGGATTGTTGTTACTATCAACTGGACAAGCGTAATGCAATGATATTATTATGATATGATATAATATTTCAAATCATTTTTTATGTAGATCCCGCATCCTACCGCTATTAGCTATTGTTGTCTACATAGTTCAGAAAGTACATCCTAAAAAAATATCATTATAATGTATTAGAAGACATCATTTTCACTAACATTATTATTCATGGATGTCCAAGAATTGACTTTCTGATAAGGAAAATTTTATAATGTCAAAATTTTTTATATCTCTCATTTTTACCTTATCATCTTAATCTTTTCCCATTAGATGACTGAAAACGAAGACACGATAATTAATTCATTTATAATCTCATTCGTCTTGGATTTACTTGTTAGTTCAACTTCTAACGAACATTATATATTTTATTATTAGAGAGTAGGGGAATAGGATTAGAAAATAAGAGCTTATAAGAGGGTTAGGAGAATAGGATTAGAAAATAAGAGCTTACATTTTATTATTAGAGGGTAGGAGAATAGGATTAGAAAATAAGAGCTTATATTTTTTTATTAGAGGGTAGGAGAATAGGATTAGAAAATAAGAGTTTGATTTATAAACACGGTCTAGAAATATATGTTATGTATGTAAAAAATTGTGCAAATCTGTCGCACTTTAAAATAAAAAAAGAAAGAATATATATATATATAAAAACACTAATAAATATAACAAATATTATAATTAATAAATAAATTAAGTTAACTAATATAACTAAAGAAACTAGTATTACTATATACTAATAACAACGGCTATTTCATCATTTGGTAAATGCATTTCGATAGCCTAGAACCATTATCTTCTGGTTCAATTTAGAACTTGAAATGGGCCCATTAGCTAAAAACAATCTAGCAGGTGCCCATCTCCAGGTGCAATAACCGTTTGTCTTGCCCATCCAGCATTTCCTAGGTATGAACAGCCAACCTTCTTTTTTCTCCTTTGATGGCTTTCATTTATTTCATCTTCTTCCCAGGAACCATTATCTTCTGTATCTTCTCGTTCATTTTTCTCCATCTTTTCAACCTCTTTTTCCTCCTAGTTCTTTTCCGCTTCTAGGAAAAAGGTTCTTAAAATATATAGCTATAGAAATAAGGTCTGAGTTTGAGTGTTTAAATATTTTTTATTGATAAATTTTTGTTGCCAGAAAATATTGTATTTTTTATTTTAAAAAGTCAAAAGGTAGTCCGAGTTTTGAGTTGGTAGAAAAATATCACTATTATTTTTATAGATTGGTTCGTTTGATGATCATCAAAATATAATTGCCTAACAATTGCTATCAAAAAGATTTTTTACTAGGGGCATGTATAAATAAATTTTTTTAAAGTAAATATCACGTGATACAATCAGTTACGGAATAGGATAAGAGCCTATACCCCCTAGGGATGGGCGTTAATTAACCTGGTTAATTAACCGTGGTTAATTAACCGTTAATTAACCGTTAATTAACCGAGGGATAATTAACCATTTTGGTTAATTTTGAATTGACCAA